CTGGGGCGTTGCCCCAGACCCCATTGGGGCTCTGCCCCATGCAATGACATCCTTGTTATTATTGTTCCCCATGTGCTAAAGAAATAATGAGATATATGGTGATTATTTATGCACCAAGGGGCCAGCCCCTTGAACCCCTGCTCCTGTGGAGGGCCATCGGGGTGTTGCCCCGAACCCCACTCCTGCAGAGAGCCTTGGGGCTGCGCCCCAAACCCCGCTCCATTAATCATGCATAGAAATGAGAAAAGCCTTTCTCCCCCCATTGACACTGCACCTGCTCAAAGCACTGCCTATTTTCTGGCCAGTTCTACAATTTCCAATTATTGTCATGATCCATTTCCACATTGTAGTGAAATTCCTTTTGTAACTTCATAAAACAGATTCCCCCATGTTGCTGTGAATTTTTTTGATTTTATTTTATAGAGAGCACCTTGCTTTTATTTTTCTATCTTTTTATTCTATACTGTCCCATATTGCTGTGAATTTTCTGGATATTAATTTGTATAGAATACCTTGGTATTGTTTTTCTTGGTTTTCCCACATTGCCACAATTTTTTCAGATTTTATTCTATATAGAGTACCTTGGTTTTATGTTTGGATGTTTCTATTTCATGTTGTTCCATGTTGCCATGAATTTTTTGAATTTTTATCTTGTCTGGAACCTTAGTTCATTTGGTTCTGTTGTTGGAAACTCCGGATTTTAACTTATTTGCTTTCTATTTATTTATCTATTTTACATGCTAATAGCGAAAATACAAAGAAAAACACAGAATACAACAATACTACCATTTATTGTATATGCCAATTTTCGACAAAAAACAATAACTAATACTACTACTACTACTACTACTACTACTATTATTATTATTACTATAATTATTTATTCACTATTTACTACTACTACTATTATTATTATTATTTACGACTATTATGACCTATTTATCTATCTATTTTACATGCCAAAGCCACATGGGAACAAAAAAGAATTGCTCCCATGGGGGGTGGGAACCGGTTTTGAGTGGGGGTATTAGTACTTTTTCGCATATGTCTGTGTGCAAACAAAGTTGTGGGAGGTTACACTCAATTCCTCACATGAATTTCCTCAAACTAAACATATACACGTGATTCTTCACATAAACCTATCATATCTCTCTCAATTCTCATCCATTTCTCCTCGGGCTTTTTTCAGTGGGCACGTCTCAATGCCCTCTACATGTTGTATCATTAGTCTGACTCGCCATTTGGCGATCCTGAGGAGATTATGGTGATTTTACTCATTTCCCATGCACAAACTGTATGGTAATCTATTATATCTCGCTGAATATTGCATCAAATGTTCTATAGTTTTGCGTCCTATCTTATATATTATTAACGCAAAGATTTCATATTTCTTTATATTTTTCTTTGACATCCGTGAGGTGCTGGAAGACATTTCCCACGCACAGACCATGTGCAGAGCAGACACTGCATTCATATCTCTGTCAGTTCTTATTCGTTTCTCCTCGGGTTTTTTTTAACGGGCGTGTTTCAATGTTCTCTACAATGTTTATTATTATTTTAACTTGATATGTTGCGATCTTGAGGGTGCCAAGTGAAGTTTAATGGAATAATTTATTATATCTCGCTTGATACTGAACCGAATGGCCTGAAATTTTGCGGACCATTTTATATAGTATTAACGCAGGTACCTGGTATTTTTGCATATTTTTAAAACATCTGTAGGGTGCTGGGGACCGTTTCCCACACACAGATCAGCCATGGAGCGGACACTGGATTTGTATCTCTGTCAGTTCTTGACCGTTTTTCGTCGGGTTTATTGCAACGAACCCGTACTAACTCTACCTCCATTCGTTATTGTTGTTTAAAGTCGTGAATCAGCATGTATGAGGAGGTAGCATGATTTTTACACAAATTCAACATGTACATTAGCATCTCTGTCAATTCTCATTTGTTTTGCGTCAAATTTGTTTCAATGAGTCTGTACAAACGCCCCCGTCATTGCGTATTATTAATCCAAGTCGCGAATGAGCCTGTATGAGGCAGTAGGACGATTTTTCATATTTTTTCACAAAAAAAGAATGCACATCCATATCTCTGTCAATTATCATTCGTCCTCCGTCATTTTTTTTGTACATAGTCTTCATGACGTCTTCATTATTTTATATCATTAGCGCACATTGCGAATGAGGGTCTATGAGGTGGTGGGACGTTTTTTCACATTTTTTCACACACAAATCACATGTACATGCATATCTCTGTCAAATCCTGTTCATTTTTCGTCGGGTTTTTTTCAATGAGCTTCTGTTAGCGTCCTCTGTATTTTGTATCATTGGTACATATCGTCAAACATTCTGTATGAGGCCATGGAGACTGTTTCCCATGCACACAACTCGCGCTGGGATGGGCCACCACTCGTATCTCCCTCAGTTTTCAACCGTTTTCCATGGGGTTTTTTTGCAACGGGCGCGTCATGGTCACCTCTCCATCTTTTATTATTACACCAAGATAGGTCATCTAGTACAATTGTTAACATTGAAACAGCTCCCACGGCTCACAGAACTGCATTGCTTATGAATTTAATTTGTATTGATCAATACATTCAACCTCACTTCATTATATACTAGAGACCTTAAACCCATGGGGTGCTCGTTCTTTGCACACCCACGCATTCTTCAGACTCTAGCTCCTGTGGAGGGCATCGGGGCTGCGCCCTGAACCCCCTGGGGCGTTGCCCCAGACCCCATTGGGGCTCTGCCCATGCAACAACATCCTTGTTATTATTGTTCCCCATGTGCTAAAGAAATAATAAGATATATGGTAATTATTTATGCACCAAGGGGCCAGCCCCTTGAATCCCTGCTCCTGCGGAGGGCCATCAGGGCACTGCCCCGAACCCCACTCCATTAATCATGCACAGGAATGAGAAACACCTTCCCCAATCCACTGGGAGTGAGGCCCTTGCATTGTTTTTTGTCATTTTCTGGCCATTTCTCCAAACCCACCACCCCAACCACTCCCCATCACATGAAATTCCTTCTAAGTTTATAAAACAGTGTTCCCCATGTTGTCATGATTTTTTTGATTTTATTTTATAGAGAGCACCTTACTTTTATTTTTATTCTATACTGTCCCATGTTGCTGTGAATTTTCTGGATTTTAATTTGCATAGAATACCTTGGTATTATTTTTCTTGGTTTTCCCCCATTGCCGCAATTTTTTCAGATTTTATTCTATATAGAATACCTTGTTTTGGATGTTTCTATTTCATGTTGTCCCACGTTGCTGTGAATTTTTTTTTTCGAATTTTTACCTTATCTGGAACCTTAGTTCATTTGGTTCTGTTGTTGGAAACTCTGGATTTTAACTTACTTACTTCCTATTTATTTATCTATTTTACATGCTAATAGCGAAAATACAAAGAAAAAAACAATACTACCATTTATTGTACATGCCAATTTTCAACAAAAAAATACTACTACTACTACTATTACTATGATTATTTATTTATTTATTTATTCACTATTTACTACTATTATTATTATTATTATTATTATTATTATTTACGACTATTATGACCTATTTATCTACCTATTTTATCTATTTATCTATCTATTTTATCTATTTTACATGCCAAAGTCACATGGGAACAAAAAAGAATTGCTCCCATGGGGGGGTTTGAACTGGTTTTGGGTGGGGGTATTAGTACTTTTTTGCATATGTCTGTGCGTGAAAAAAGTTGTGGGAGGTCAAACTCAACTACTCACGTGAATTTCCTCAAACTGAACATATACATGTGATTTTCACATAAATCTATCATATCTCTCTCAGTTCTCATCCGTTTCCCATCGGGTTTTTTTTCCATGGGTGCGTCTCAATGTCCTCTACATGTTGTATTATTAGTCCGACTCGTCGTTCAGCGATCCTGAGGAGATTATGGCGATTTATCGCATTCCCCATTCACAAACTGTATAGTAATCTATTATATCTCGCTTGATACTTGACCAAATGTTCTATAAATTTGCGCACTAATTTATATATTATCAACGCAAGTTTTTAACATTTTTTTATATTTTCCTTTGACATCCATGAGGCACTGGAAGACGTTTCCCACGCACAGACCATGCGTGGAGCGGACACTACATTCATATCTCTGTCAGTTCCTATTCGTTTCTCTTCGGGTTTGTCTTAACGGGCGCGTGTTATTGCCCTCTACAATTACTATTATTGCCCCGGCTCATTATTGCGCGATTTTGAGGGGTCCAAGTGAAGATTAATGACAAAACCTATTATATCTTGCTTGATACTGAACCGAATGACCTGTAATTTCGCGTACTATTTCATATAGCGTTAACGCAAGTACTCCACATTTTTACATATTTTTAGAACATCTATGAGATGCTGGAGAACATTTCCCACGCACAGATCATGCGCGGAGCTGACACTGGATTGGTATCTCTGTCAGTTCCTGACCGTTTCTCGTCGGGTTTTTTGCAATGGGCCCGTATTGACCTTTCCTCTATGTGGTATCATTAGTGCAAGTCGTGAATCAGCATGTATGAGGAGGTGGAACGATTTTTCCACAAATAAAGCATGTACATTAGTATCTCTGTCAATTTTGATTCGTTCTTCGTCGGGTTTCTCTTAATGGGCCCGTACTAACCCCCTGGCCATTTTCTATTATTGGTGCAAGTCGTGATTGAGCGTTCGTGAGGCAGTGGGACGGTTTTTCACAATTTTTCACACAAAAAAAGCATATACATGAGTATCTCTGTCAATTATCATTCGTTTTTGGTCGTTCTTTTTTTTACATGCTTGTATCAACGTCCCTGTCATTTCATATTATTGGCGCACATTGCGAATGAGGGTCTATGAGGCGATGGGACATTTTTTCACATTTTTTCACACACAAAAGACATTTACATGCATATCTCTGTCAAATCTCATTCGTTTTTCGTCGGGTTTTTTCAATGAGCTTCTATTAGCATCCTTTGTATTTCGTATTATTGGTCCATATCGTTAAACAGCCTGTATGAGGCCGTGGAGACCATTTCCCACGCACACAACTCGCACTGGGATGGGCCACCACTTGTATCTCCTTCAGTTTTCAACCGTTTTCCATGGGGTTTTCTGCAATGGATGTGTCATGATCACCTCTCCATTTGATATTATTACACCACGACAGGTTGTCTAGTACAATTGTTAACATTGAAAACGCTCCCACGGCTCACAAAACTGAATTGCTTATGAATTTAATTTGTATTGAACAATACATTCAACCTCACTTCATTATAGACTAGAGACCTTAAACCCGTGGGGTGCTCGTTCCTTGCACACCCATGCGTTCTTCGGTCTCTAGCTCCTGTGGAGGGCATCAGGGCTGCGCCCTGAACCCCCTGGGGCGTTGCCCCAGACCCCATTGGGGCTCTGCCCCATGCAACGTCATCCTTGTTATTATTGTTCCCCATGTGCTAAAGAAACAATGAGATATATGGTGATTATTTATGCACCAAGGGGGCCAGCCCCTTGAACCCCTGCTCCTGCGGAGAGCTATTGGGGCGTTGCCCCAAGCCCCACTCCTGCGGAGAGCCTGGGGCTGCGCCCCAAACCCCCTGGATATATTTAATTATTTTTTACACCAAGGGGCCAGCCCTTGAACCCATGCTCCTGTGGAGGGCCATCAGGGCCTTGCCCCAAACCCCACTCCTGTGGAGAGCCTTGGGGCTGCGCCCCAAACCCCACTCTAATAATCATGCACAGGAATGAGAAAAGCCTTTCCCCCCTCTTTGGCAATGCACTGGGAGTGAGGCCCTTTTATTTGTTGTTTTTCTTCATTTTCTGGCCATTTCTCCAAATCCACCACCCCAACCACCTCCCATCACATGGAATTCCTTTGTAAGTTGATAAAACAGTGTTCCCCATGTTGCCATGAATTTTTTTGATTTTATTTTATATAGCACACCTTCCTTTTATTTTTCTATCTTTTATTCTATGTTGTCCCATGTTGCCGTGAATTTTCTGGATGTTTTTTTATATAAAATTTATCTTCCTTTGTTGTCCCACATTGCCGCAATTTTGTCAGATTTTATTTTATTCAGGACACCTTGGTTTTATTTTTTTTGGATGTTTCTGCTTCATGTTGTGCCATGTTGCCGTGAATTTTCTCAAATTTTTACCTTATATGGAACCCTTCATTTGATTCTGCTCCACATTTTAATTATTCAATTTTTATTTACCTATTATTTTACATGCTAATAGCGAAATACAAAGAAAAAGAGAGAATACAACCATTTATTGTAGACACCAATTTCGAAAACATAACCAAACATAACTAATACAACACCACTATTACTATTATTATCTAATTGTATTTGCTAATTAGCGAAAAGAACAAAAAAAAATAACTAACACAACAATACTATCATTACTTATTAATAACTAATTGGTGAAAACAACCGAAAAAAAAAATTACTAATACAGCAACAAACAACTACTATTTTTATTATTTTATTATTTATTATTATTACTATTTACAGTTATTATGACCTATTTATCTACTTTTATTTACCTATCTACCTATTTTATCTATTTATCTATCTATCTATTTTACATGCCAAAGTCACATGGGAACAAAAAAGAATTGCTCCCATGGGGGGGTGTAAACCGGTTTTGAGTGGGGTATTAGTACTTTTTCGCATATGTCTGTGCGCGAACAAAGTTGTGGGAGGTTACGCTCAATTGCTCACGTGAATTTCCTCAAACTAAACATATACACGTGATTCTTTACATAAATCTATCATATCTCTGTCAGTTCTCATCCGTTTCTCGTCGGGTTTTGTTCCATGGGTGCGTCTCAATGTCCTCTACATGTTGTATTATTGGTCCGACTCGTCGTTCGGCGATCCTGAGGAGATTACAGCGATTTATCGCATTCCCATGCACAAACTGTAGAGTAATCTATTATATCTCGCTTGATACTTTACCAAATGTTTTATAAATTTGCGTACCAATTTATATATTATCAACGCAAGTTTTTGACATTTTTCCATATTTTTCTTAACATGCTGTGAGGCACTGGAAGACGTTTCCCACGCACAGACCACGCACAGAGCAGACACTACATTCATATCTCTGTCAGTTCTTATTCGTTTCGCTTCGGGTTTGTTTTAACGGGCGCTTGTTAATGCTATTTACAATTATTATTATTGCCCCGGCTCATTATTGCGCGATTTTGAGGGTGGCAAGTGAAGTTTAATAGAATAATTTATTATATCTTGCTTGATACTGAACCAAATGTCCTGGAATTTTTCGAATCATTTTATATACTATTAACGCAAGTACAGAATATTTTTACATATTTTTAGAACATCTGTAGGGTGCTGGGGACCGTTTCCCACGCACAGATAATGCGCAGACCTGACACTGCAATCGTATCTCTGTCAGTTCTTATTCGTTTCTCTTCGGGTTTTTTTTAACGGGCGCGTGTCAATGCTCTCTACAATGTATATCATTACCTTAACCTGATATCCTGCGATCTTGAGGGTGCCAAGTGAAATTTAATGGAATAATTTATCATATCTCGCTTGATACTGGACCAAATGGCCTGAAACTTTGCGAACCATTTTATATAGTATTAACGCAGGTACCTGATATTTCTACATATTTCTAAAACATCAGTGAGGCGCTGGAGACCGTTTCCCACGCACAGATCATCTGCGGAGCTGGCACTGGATTGGTATCTCTGTCAGTTCCTATTCGTTTCTCTTCGGGTTTTTTTCAACGGGCGCGTATTAACTCTCTCTATAATGTGTATTATTACCTCAACTTGATATTCTGCGATCTTGAGGGTGCCAAGTAAAATTTAATGGAATAATTTATCATATCTCGCTTGCTACAGCACCAAATGTCCTGAAATTTTGCGAACATTTCATATAGTATTAACGCAGGTACCTAATATTTTTTTATATTTTTAAAACATCTGTAGGGTGCTGGGGAGCGTTTCCCACGCCCAGATCAGCCGCGGAGCTGACACTGGATTGGTATCTCCCTCAGTTCTTGACCGTTTTCCGTCGGGTTTTTTTTAATGGGCCCGTACTACCTCCACTTCCATTTGTTATTGTTGGTAAAAGTCGTGAATCAGCGTGAATGAGGAGGGGGAACGTTTTTTCCACAAATAAAGCATGTACATTAGTATCTCTCTCAATTCTGATTTGTTTTTCGTCGGGTTTCTTTTAATGGGCCTGTACCAACTTCCTGGCCATTTTCTATTATTGGTGCAAGTCGCGAATAAGCGTTCATGAGGCAGTGGAACGGTTTTTCACAATTTTTCACAAAAAAAAGCATATACATTCGTATCTCTGTCAATTATCATTCGTTTTTCACCGTTTTCTTTCGTACATACTCGTAACAATGCCCTTACTATCTTATACTATTGGCGTCAATCGCGAATGAGGGTCTATGAGGCAGTAAGACGGATTTTCACATTTTTTCACACACAAAAGACATGTACATGCATATCTCTGTCAAATCTCATTCGTTTTTCGTCGGGTTTTTTTTAATGAGCTTCTATTAGCGTCCTCTGTATTTCGTATTATTGGTATATATCGTCAAACAGCCTGTATGAGGCGTGGTCACTGTTTCCCACGCACACAACTCGCGCTGGCATGGGCCACCACTCGTATCTCCCTCAGTTTTCAACCGTTTTTCATGGGATCTTTTGCAATGGAATCGCTCAAACGTTCCCTCCATCTTTTATTATTACACCAAGATGGGTCATCTAGTACAATTGTTAACATTGACAATGCTCCCACGGCTCACAAAACTGCATTGCTTATGAATTTAATTTGTATTGAACAATACTAGAGACCTTTAACCCGTGGGGTGCTTGTTCCTCGCACACCCACGTGTTTAGCGGTCTCTAGCTCCTGCGGAGGGCATCGGGGCTGCGCCCTGAACCCCCCTGGGGCGTTGCCCCAGACCCCATTGAACGACATCCTTGTTATTATTGTTCCCCATGTGCTAAAGAAATAATGAGATATATGGTGATTATTTATGCACCAAGGGGCCAGCCCCTTGAACCCCAGCTCCTGCAGAGAGCTATTGGGGTGTTGCCCCAAGCCCCACTCCTGCGGAGAGCCTGGGGCTGCGCCCCAAACCCCCTGGATATATTTGATTATTTTTTACACCAAGGGGCCAGCCCCTTGAACCCCTGCTCCTGCGGAGGGCCATCAGGGCCTTGCCCCGAACCCCACTCCTGCGGAGAGCCTTGGGGCTGCACCCCAAACCCCACTCCATTAATCATGCACAGGAATGAGAAAAGCCTTTCCCCCCTCTTTGGCAATGCACTGGGAGTGAGGCCCTTTTATTTGTTGTTTTTCTTCATTTTCTGGCCATTTCTCCAAATCCACCACCCCAACCACCTCCCATCACATGGAATCCCTTTGTAAGTTGATAAAACAGTGTTCCCCATGTTGCCATGAATTTTTTTGATTTTATTTTATATAGCACACCTTCCTTTTATTTTTCTATCTTTTATTCTATGTTGTCCCATGTTGCCGTGAATTTTCTGGATTTTTTTTATATAAAATTTATTTTCCTTTGTTGTCACACATTGCCGCAATTTTTTCAGATTTTATTTTATTCAGGACACCTTGGTTTTATTTTTTTTGGATGTTTCTGCTTCATGTTGTGCCATGTTGCCGTGAATTTTCTCAAATTTTTACCTTATATGGAACCCTTCATTTGATTCTGCTCCACATTTTAATTATTTGATTTTATTTACCTATTTATTTTGCATGCTAATAGCGAAATACAAAGAAAAAGAGAGAATACAACAGTACCACCATTTATGGTAGATGCCAATTTCGAAAACATAACCAAACATGACTAATACAACACCACTATTACTATTATTACCTAATTGTATTTGCTAATTAGCGAAAACAAAAAAAAAAAATTACTAATACAACAACAAACAACTACTATTTTTATTATTTTATTATTATTTATTACTATTTACGGTTATTATGACCTATTTATCTACTTTTATTTACCTATCTACCTATTTTATCTATTTATTTATCTATTTTACATGCCAAAGTCACATGGGAACAAAAAAGAGTTGCTCCCATGGGGGGGTTTGAACCGGTTTTGAGTGGGGGTATTAGTACTTTTTTGCATATGTCTGTGCGCGAAAAAAGTTGTGGGAGGTCAAACTCAACTACTCACGTGAATTTCCTCAAACTGAACATATACACGTGATTTTCACATAAATCTATCATATCTCTGTCAGTTCTCATCCGTTTCCCGTCGGGTTTTTTTTCATGGGTGCGTCTCAATGTCCTCTACATGTTGTATTATTAGTCCGACTCGTCGTTCGGCGATCCTGAGGAGATTATGGCGATTTATCGCATTCCCCATTCACAAACTGTATAGTAATCTATTATATCTCGCTTGATACTTGACCAAATGTTTTATAAATTTGCGCACTAATTTATATATCATCAACGCAAGTTTTTAACATTTTTTCATATTTTTCTTTGACATCCATGAGGCACTGGAAGACGTTTCCCACGCACAGACCATGCGCGGAGCGGACACTACATTCGTATCTCTGTCAGTTCCTATTCGTTTCTCTTCGGGTTTGTTTCAACGGGCGCGTATTATTGCCCTCTACAATCACTATTATTGCCCTGGCTCATTATTGCGCGATTTGAGGGGTCCAAGTGAAGATTAATGACAAAACCTATTATATCTTGCTTGATACTGAACCGAATGACCTGTAATTTTGCGTACTATTTTATATAGCGTTAACGCAAGTACCCAACATTTTTACATATTTTTTAGACATCTATGAGGTGCTGGAGAACGTTTCCCACGCACAGATCAAGCGCGGAGCTGACACTGGATTGGTATCTCTGTCAGTTCCTGTTCGTTTCTCTTCGGGTTTCTTTTAACGCGCGCGCATATTATAATGTCCACTACAATTTGTATTATTGCCTCAACTCGATATTCTGCGATTTTGAGGGTGCCAAGTGAAAAGTAATCACATAATTTATTATATCTCGCTTGATACTGGGCCGAATGGCCTGAAATTTTGCGAACCATTTTATATAGTATTAACGCAGGTACCTAATATTTTTGCATATTTTCAAAACATCTATAGGGTGCTGGGGACCGTTTCCCACGCACAGATCAGCCGCGGAGCTGACACTGGATTGGTATCTCCCTCAGTTCTTGACCGTTTTCCGTCGGGTCTTTTTCAATGGGCCCGTACTAACTTCACTTCCATTTGTTATTGTTGGTGACAGTCGTGAATCAGCGTGAATGAGAGGGGGAACGTTTTTTCCACACATAAAGCATGTACATTAGTATCATTGTCAATTTCCATTCGTTTTTCGTCGGGTTTCTTTTGATAGGCCCGTACCAACCCCCTGGTCATTTTATATTATTGGTGCAAGTCGCGAGCGAGCGTTTATGAGGCAGTAGGACGTGTTTTTACATTTTGTACACATAAAAGGAATGTTCATGCATATCTCTGTCAATTCTCATTCGTTTTTCGTCGTTCTTTTTTGTATATACTTGCACTTACGCCTTTGTTATTTTATATTATTGGGGCACATTGCGAATGAGGGTCTATGAGGCGGTGGGACGTTTTTTCATATTTTTTCACACACAAAAGACATTTACATGCATATCTCTGTCAAATCTCATTTGTTTTTCGTCGGGTTTTTTTTAATGAGCTTGTATTAACGGCCCCTACATCTAATATTATTAGCGCACATCGTCAAACATCCTGTTTGAGGCCGTGGCCACTGTTTCCCACGCACACAGCTCGCGCTGGGATGGGCCACCACTTGTATCTCCCTCAATTCCCAACCGTTTTTCATGGGGTCTTTTGCAATGGAATCGCTCAAACGTCCTCTCCATCTTTTATTATTACATCAAGATAGGTCATCTAGTACAATTGTTAACATTGAAACAGGTCCCACGGCTCAGAGAACTGCATTGCTTACGTTAATTAAACTGTATTGACCCATACAAAAACTGAATAGAACAATACATTCAACCTGACTTTATTATATACATTCAACCTCACTTCATTATGAGAGATTATTATTATATATATATATCCTCAAGGAACAAAGTCCTGAGGAATCTGGACAACCTAAGCATCCACATCGTATAGATGACTATGATTCCAAGGAATATTGGAAGACAATCCTTGCCTTCCTGACCAAGGGCACCTTGTATTATAACTCAGCAATAGCCACTCTGAGTTGTCCTTTAATGTTATTCCAAGTAGAAGTAACAGTTAAAGGACGACTCCGCAGTCACATGATACAAATGGAGCACAGATTGAATAAGAAATGAAGGAGAAATAGAAACAACTACACACAACACCTTGCCCACTGACAAGAAAGAAGTGGCATGACTTCTTAACAGAGCCAAGCAGTTTTTCCTGTACGAAGGAAAATTGTGGAAGTGCAACCAAGATAAGCTGATGCTTCTAGTGGTACTCAACGAAGAAATTCGTCAGAGAATTGTCAAAGATGCCCATGATGGCAGCGGTCATCAAGGCAGAGACCCCACTTTTAGCAAGATTCATGACTCATATTGGTTTCCTAACATGTACCAATATGTTGAGCAGTACTGTTGGACATGCCATGAATGCCAGTTGCGATCAACGCAAAAGAACACCATTCCAATCCAGCCTCAATATGTGAGGACTTTACTTAGATGGTTTGATGCCAACACCATTGCAATGCCGCGAGGCAAGGGAGGCTACAAGTATCTTGTTGACTTCATGGATAACCTAACCAGATGGACAGAGGCTAAAGCTCTCAAGAACATCAAGTCTGAGACTGTCACCAAATTTCTGTTCAAAGTCATGTGTAGATATGGCTGCATCATCCAGCTCACAGTAGACAATGGGAGTGAATTCCTTGGTGCTACTCAAGTTCTACTTGACAAGTACAATATCCCCATCATGTGAACCACTGCTTATAACCCAGCTTCCAATGGCAAAGTTGAATGTGGCCATGGTGTATGGATTGAAAGTATATGGTGCGGGTTAAAAGGACACACTAACAAATGGCCTGACCTGGTTGGATATGCCTTGTGGGCAGACCGTGTCACCACTAAGCACAACACAGGATACACACCCTACTTTCTTTTGTATGGACAACATCCGTTGATGCCATTTGAAATCACAGATCAAACATTTTACGCATTAGACTGGCCTTCAGTATTTACAACCAAGGAGCTACTAGCTATGTGGATCAGACAAATTGGCCAAAAGGAGGAATTCCTTGATCGTGCAGCAAAGTCTAGCTTTGAGTCTAGGAAGAAAGCTGCTGATGACTATAACCGGCACCATGCTCACCACATGAAATTAGACAATTACAAGCCAGGAGAATTTGTCTTAGTCTCTAATGAGCATATAAAGCTCCAACATGATATGAAAGGCCAACCTCATTGGTTTGGGCCCTACATTATAGTCAAGAGACTCCAGAGTGGCGCTTTTGTTCTACAAGAACTAGATGGGGCTGTCTTTAAACACCCAGTGGCAGGGAAGAGAATCAAGTCCTACCACTACCGCAAATCCAAGGAACCCATCATCTGCAAGCCTGTTGAATTACAGGATGATGAAATTCTTGAAGAGAGCAAAGCCAACAATTTATCATTGTCTGTTAACCTTAAGCAGCCAGGCCTCCCCAAATCTTGGGAATTGCGAGGCAAAGCACTTGACAAGTACTGGCAAGAAAAGTACAAGTGCATGCTTCAAAGAGCCACAGATCCTGAAGTCAAGTTTCCTTCAAGTACATACAAAGAGAATCTTGAGAGGTTCATCCAGGAAGACGCCCAATTTTGGGATTACCAACATGAGACGTACCCTGACCAGGAAGGGGAACTCATCTGCTTCAAAAGTCTACCCAATGGAAAGCCAACCTTATTCCAGTGGCTACCTTGGGGGGGGGAAGGGGAATACATACCCCAAGAGTCCTACCCAATCACTGCTGAGACTACTGACTCTACCAGTGCAGATGCCAAAGGGGAATTTGGCAATGCAACCATAGAAGTTATTCCACCAGCAGAAACCAAGCAGACTGACAAGCCTGCTGAAGGGGAGAGAGCCTGCATAACAATTGAAGCAGCCCTGGAACCAAATCCCAAAGGGAAGGCATTGATGCAGACACCAACTTTGTCTTAGATTGCACAATGGCACACTACGTGTCAGGATTGCCATACCCCCACCATGAGCGTCTATGGGAGACTTCTCCACAAAGTTATCATGATGATGAGTATGAAGTGCATGAAGGAAGTGGCAGGAATTCTGCCACCAGAAGAGGCCAAGGTGCAGCCAGAGGAGGCCCTCATAAACCTTTCCCTCCATCTCATCAAGGAGCTAGTAAGTGTAGAAGATCTTGCTCTCCTTCCCCTAAATGTTCTAGGATTGGGGATGACACTGTCTGAGCATTACAAGACAAAGTTAAGCAATTGGAGTCTGTAGTGCACGCCCAGACCAAGTCCCAAGAGGCTGAGTCTAGTTCTAAGCAACATCACACTGGGTTCAGAGAGGAAGCGCCCCTTCAGAAGCCCACAGTCACCAAAAAGCCATTTATTGAAGGCTCCCAGCCCTCCCATAGACATAACAGCGGAGTCCCCCCTAAACCGTCCATGTACACGGGGAACATACCTGCCTTGATTTCCACACTTGCTGAAGACAAGAAGGCACCCAAGTATAAACCCAAGAAGCACCCTTCTGTCCATCAAGGACTACATCCTCAGCATCTTCCTATCATTGAGACCAACCCAGAGTTACGAGCCCTTCTAAGCCAAGCTACCATGTGGGTAGATGAGCTTTTGGATGTTAGCTCTACTCGAAAACCGCATCGATCCATTGTTCAAGAAGCTTGCCCAGCAAGACAGCCTAGTGCAGCAACTTCACAATAGTATGGACACAGTCCTGAAGTCCTCTGAGGAGACCTCTAAGGAAGTCCTCCGTGCCTACGATCTGTTCTTATATGAACATAATCAAACCCAGAACGCTGCCAGAAGTATTAGGGCTTTGTTTCTGGCAATGCATGCCAACACCCTAACTGCCAATGAATATTGGTATGCTGAAAGAGGGCTTGCAGCTCTCTATGCTGACACAGCTCGTGGGGGACAACTCTCCCTAAACTCTACTTTCTCCACTAAACTCGCTATGTTCTCGATCCTTAACTCCGGTGTGGGTTCTCCAGGATTCTGCAAGGTCCGGGCTCAACTAATCTACTACCCACTTGTTGTGGGCTAGACAGTTGCCCTTATTCCTACTGTTGGATTCCACACACTCACTCCAACTCTAGTGCATCCTAGAGAATTTTGGGGGAGGGGAGAACTTCTTTTCAAAAATCTGGTATGTACAGGATTATAAGAAATAATTATTTTTAGAAATAATAGATGGGAAATATTGATGCCATATGGCACCTGCATACCTTATTAGGCGAAATAATAAAAAGGGTAACAGTATCAATAAAAGAATATCAATCAATAACTGAAATAATGGCAAAATATGAAAATAAAAGAAAATAAGCGATATCTCAACGGATTTACGGAATTAAAGACCAAAATTGGAAAAGAAGCCAGAGATAACTCTCACGCAGCCGATAAGCATTTTTACCAATTTATTAGACGCCGTGGGAACGAGTCAGGCTGGAATTCTGGGTTGCCACTTGAGATTCCCACACCCACACATGCCTGTGCCTAACTTGCCCAACATAGAACTCCGTCAATTCTCCACCGATTGGGACGTTCTTGATATCGTCGGAATCGTAGGAATTAGCACTATTTTTAGGTACCAAATTCGTATCGAGTTGTCGCATGAATGGAAGGGGTTTTCTGAATGGTGGAAGCAGGTATCCAAGCCGGCTATGCGCATGGGCGATTATCCTGCCTACAACGCCCACCAAGAGATTCTGGCAGGGATTGAGGAGAAGATTAGGGACAGAATCTCTCTCCATGATCACCAATATGCCACTTTTATTGATGCTAAGCGAGCTATGTTGGAAGCATGGCACGCTATCATCCCTGAGCCAAGAGGATACCATGTCAGAAATTGCACCCTGTCTGACAAGCATATGGAGGAACGCACACAAAACCTCCAGAAGATAGCCAAAGCATTGAAGTCCACAGGTGCAGACCTAGTCCCGCCCAGCAACCCAGTTCACAAGGGGAAGAAGCCCCATACCCCTCCTAGTAACCAGCCTGACACTGACAGGAGCTCTTCCAGAGACTCTGACCAGAGCACAGCTCAAGTCAGCAACAGCATGACTAACATGTCTCAGCTCAGCTGACTTATCGAGCAGACTGAAGTCACCAATGGGGAAACCTCCAATGTCATGGATGAGGATCCCAACCCAAAGCCTATAAGCACCCGTACCCACGAGTTAACTAAAGGCAAGGGTAAAGCAGACCACATTACTGTACTCACACAACCAACTACTGGTCATGTGTCACAGAGACCTCCCAGTCCGGTCGAAATTCAGGGTCTGTCACATGTCACAGCCAGTTGGCAGTTGGGTGTTTGGGTGTCATGCCAGTTTTGCTGAGGCAAGGTGGCTGTGCAAGGCAATTCAAATTTTCCATTTCTGGAATGTACAGTTCTCCAATAAACCACTGCAATGTTTTTCACTTTTCAACTCATGACCTTATAGCACAATGAAAATGTATTTGAAATTTTCAAAAAAATATTCAGAACATGGGAAAGTATCTCATCTAAAGATCTGCCAATTATGTAAGCAATATTCCCATTTTTGGTAATGTTATGTAATTTACAAACTACCCAGGTCATTGCAACAGTTTATTGGAGTACCCCCAGGCTGAACAGAAAATAGGAATATCATGTGACATGTCATGTGATATTGTTTACTGTACACACTAGTAAACAAAATGACATTAATAAAGCATAAATACCGAAGGACTTCACATGATAAGGCCCCAAATCCGAAATGCATCCTTTAGCCACTTCAAAAGTTGAACAAATCCTTTCCCTCATTGATTCTGGCCATAGTGCTTGCCAAATCTCAGTTCTTACTGGCCACCATTACTCCACTGTCACTCGCCTATGGTCTAAACACCGTTTTGATGTTCCCAAGCCCAGTGGTGGTCGTCCATCCAAGCTTTCTGACACTGATATCCACCATGCTTGTCGTCTCATCAACTCTGGGAAGGCTGACAACTCATCCCAAGTCACCCAAATACTCCAAAACATCAATGACACCTCCCTCTCCATTGAGACTGTACGTAAAGGGCTCAAAAAAGCTGGTTGGAAAGCAGTGGTGAAGGTAAAAAGGCCTATGCTCACCAGGCATCACAAGAGGGACAGGATGGATTTTGCCCTCAGCCACAAGGAGTGGACTCTAGAGGACTGGAAGAGAGTTGTATGGTCTGATGAGACTAAGGTGAATCGTCTGGGCTCAGATGGGAGGAAATGGGTGTGGAAGTGGGTGGGGGAGCCTCTCACTGACAGGTTGGTGCAAGGCACAAAAAAGTTTGGTGGAGGTTCCATCATGGTATGGGGTTGTATGACCTGGGATGGGGTTGGAATGGCATGCAAGATTGATGGGAAGATGGATGGGGACCTGTACTGCCAAATTCTGGATGAGGAACTACAGGAAACCATATTATCACAAAAACCCAGCCCATGTCCTCTTCCAACAGGACAATGACCCCAAACACACCAGCAAAAAGGCCCAAAACTGGTTCAATAACCACTGTATTGAGGTCATGAAGTGGCCCTCACAGTCTCCAGACCTCAATCCAATCGAGCATCTCTGGAATCATGTGAAGAGGAAGCTTGGGGAATATGAAGAACCTCCAAGTAGTGTTCAGGAGCTGTGGGATCGCTTCCAGGAGGAGTGGGATAGAATAGATCCAAGTGTTTGCCAGAACCTGATTGAGAGTATGCCTAGGAGGATTGAGGCAGTGGTTAGAGCAAAAGGTGGCTATACAAAGTATTAATTAATGCCATTTTCCCTTCCCAAAAATGTACTCCAATAAACTGTTGCAATGACCTGGGTGGTTTGTAAATTACATAACATTACCAAAAATGGACATATTGCTTACATAATCGGTACACATTTAAATGGGATACTATTACATGTTTCGAATATTTTTCTGAAATTTTAGAATACATTATCATCATGCTATAAGGTCATGAAGTCAAAAGTGCAAAACATTGCAACGGTTTATTGGAGAACTGTATTTACATTCAAAAATGGAAAATTTTCATTTGGTCTTCCAAGTTTCTTGTGTGCCTTGCTCACATTCCATGGCCAAGTTCCTGCTCATGAATAGGCACAGGGAGTATGTGAACCTTGTAAATTTGTTTGGAGGACTGGAAGTGTAAACTGGATAAATTCAGTGACAGACTAGGCAGGTGACCAGCCTCTCATGACAGACAAGTTCCCATCTGGAAAGTAGGATCCAATAAAATCACCCAGGATGTCGCTATATGAGATAGTCTCATCCATACACAAAGCAATGCGGTGTGCAAGGGTAAAACCAATCATGAGATGATGCACAGATGCTCAGAAAATTTATGGGGGTGGTGTTTTCAAATTTTTAAAATTTAAATTCAAGGTGGTTAACAATTTAATATAATTCAGACAACTCCGCAGCACCCTGCCAGTTGGGTGTCACATGTCACAACAAGTTGCTGGTTGGCGGTTTATATCATGTGACAGGTCACGTGGCTGACTAAGCCGGTAGTTGGTCATGTGAGTACAGTATGTCTGAGGATGCAATGTCCGATGCGACTGCAGACCTAGGTGGTCATGAGTAGATTATGCCACCACTCCCAATCAACAACCTGCACGCTCATGTATGCTGAGGTTGATTATACCTGTCTGTATTTATCATCAGTGCTGGACACCCAAGTCAGACTTAACCAAATTTTACAACTTTATTTATCATTGACCTCTGTCACACAAGGCAGTTGGGCATTTACCCCCCCTATTATGGAGCAGTCAACTAGCCAGTAGTGGAGACAGCATCCATGTCAGAGAGAAGCCAACATACTGTGGACTTCACCTCTTACCATGGCATGATGCACTCCCTTACTACTGGGGTACCAAGGACCTTATTTCTACATCACCCCACAAACCCCCTTAATTTACTCGCATTGTTGTGCAGAGTTCACTAGCAAATTTGCCGAAAAGTGCAGTTTTGGCTTAAAATGTCTACAAGTTCAGCCAATTCCTTAATAGTTGTGCATAAATGGGCTTACACATTTAAGAATCCTGCACACTGCCAACAACTGAGAATGACGCTTCGGCGTAATAATAAACATTGTGGGGATTGATTATACCTTTCCAACGAGCTCTTGAACGCTGGGAACGGCAAAGATCTCAGGGAGGTAGACGAGGAAAAGTGAGATATAATGAGCGACAAACTTAAAAGTCGATGCGAGCCCCTTCTAGAGACGACCGAGACGTGTTCTTGGGCTCGTTCGATAGAGGAATAACAGCTCTACCCGCTCGCAAAATTTGAAAGGAAACGATTCACTCGTTCAGGAGATATTCGCAAATTTCCGGGTTGGGCAGGAGTAGCCAAAAGTGTAGAGAGGCTCTATCTCCCCCATTTCTTCATCAATTCGGATGATTTTTGTGTCTTTGGGAAGCCGTAATTAAGGAGAACGCAACGTAGGAGTTGCTAGAGGAAATCGTGAGGGACCACGATTAAAGAGTAAGGCCTGTATGTAGGAGGGCACAGCAAGTACCACACAAACAAGGCCAGAACCACGTTTTTTGAGGCTCCAACGAGCACCCTCAAGCCTCCGACACATTCACAATGCCCATGGCACATTTCCACATTTTTTCCAATTTTTTCCATGCTTTTTTCTCAAGACCCATATTGCCACTTCCTCAATTATTGATTTTATTGCTACCTTGTGGACACTTTTTTTGCCTTATTGTTTCTTAGCCGAGTTCTCAACATTCTTCCTGTTTCCATTGACACCATCCATCAGCTATTTTCCTTGTTTTTTTGTTCTGATTTCTCTTTTTTCTAATATATGTACACCCAGTTTGCGTTGTACTTACAGTTGTTGGACCCCTCTTCTGTGCTACAAAGACTGTGGTGTTGAGCAACCCTTCCACATGTTTGAAGAGCTTAGTTTGACTCCCTGATGACTGTCCAAGGACCAGGGTGAGTTCTGAGTTTAAGAGATTTTATTAGTATCATGCACTTGCACCGGGACCGTGTGCGGCCTCACCAGTAGTAAGATTTTCTTTGCCCCCCCTTTTTCTTTTCTTG